TGTGTTATAAAAAAAGAACCCACACTTGTCTATAAAATAACATGAAACTGGCCAAATTGTAATTGGTATTCATCATTTTTTATTCCATGTTTAATAAAAAGCAGGCTGTGCTTTTGATTTTTGATTCAACAGAATATTTTAAATAATGATAGAACAAATAAAAAATATCATGGTCAGAAATGATGTGACCCTTAACCTAATATTTGGTTGCATTATCGTTACCGGCAATCACTGGAAACAAGTCAATTCTGTAGCTCTCAATAAGACTTCTGCACTAGCCAACAGGAAGTTTAGTGCACTAGCAAACTTCTCTAGCTGTCTTAGGCTTCTTCTCCAGTCTGCACGTCTCAGATTTTTCCATAGATGTTCCATGAGATTCAGATCCGGTTTTGCAGAAGGCCTCTTCAGAATAGTCAAATAATTTGTTCTTATCAATTCTTGGGTGCACATGACCTGTGAACATAGAGCTGATGGGACTTGCCAAAGAGCTCCAGTTTTGTCTCGTATATCTGAAGGACATTCTCCTAGAACAGGGGTGGCAAACTCCGGCCCTCCAGCTGTTGTGGAACTACAAGTCCCTTGAGGCTTTGCAAGATTCTCACAGCCACGGGCACGACTCGCAGAGGCAGATGCATCATGGGATTTGTAGTTTCACCACAGCTGGAGGGCCTGAGTTTGCCACCCCTGTCCTAGAAGCATTGTAGCTTGTCAATATGCATTTTAGCAAATTCCAGTCTGGTTTTTCAATTTTTTTCATTCAAAAGTGGAGTCCTCTTTTGAGCCCGCTGTCGCTCAAAAGCAGTGGATAGAACAATCAGACCTTGTGATCAGTGATGTACCTTGACCTTGGAGTTCTGCTTTTATCTCTTTGGAGGTTTTCCTAGGATTTTTGTCTACCTTTCGCACTACTTTCCTGTTCAATCTGGGGGTCAGTTTTCCCCTTGCTGTTACATTCAGGGAGGTATAATCTTTGCTAGCAACAAATTTGTCCAGACCATTTTAGAATATCTTTGTGAAATACCTTCACACCTTCTTTGCTTTACTCTATTATATACCAAATGCATGCAGGTATATATGAGACAATTGCTTTTAATTTCATCACCTTTCAGGAAGAATAAAGCATTATTCCAACAAATACCAACCAAATGTTTCAATGGGGGATACCAACAAATTTGACCACGTCTGTATAGTGTGTGTATATATCTGTAAGTCAGAGTTATGAATCAGATATCCGAATAAATGTACTTAAACCAGTTTCATGTACTGAAACCAGTGTACAGTCACTTTGATTGGCTGACGTGAGTTTCTCTACATTATGTTTTATCTTATTTTGTTTAGATCATTCTGGTTCCAGTTTTCTTATTCTCACAACCAGAATTACCTCTCTCTACTAGTGCAGAATATGTCATGATAGAAATATGTAACCTGCCATTTTCCGGCTTGTTTTTTAAACACAGAGTATTGTAAACACAGAGTTTGTCATCCTCTGGAAAAATATGCTGGTCAGGATTTTTTTTACCTCTTTGGCTGTGTACCTTTTTTTGGGTCAATAAATTCCTGAGTAGTGAAGCAAGACTGGGGTGGAACAAGAGCTTGCACCTCTAAAAGCAGGCCAGCAGTGTCATCTCCCAAATTACTTTCATGAGAGGCTGCATATCACAGTGGCTGCACTAACAATGATTTCAACATTGCTCCTTTGATTCTTATGTACAGGAGGCCTATGTCATGGCGGGAGTAGCAAGTCCTTATGTGTGTCGTCTGCTGGGCATCTGTCTAACATCCACAGTGCAGCTGGTTACCCAGCTCATGCCATATGGTTGCTTACTGGAATATGTGCGAGAAAATAAGGATTGCATTGCCTCCAAAGATATACTGAACTGGTGTGTGCAGATAGCGAAGGTACGGTGCAAAGAAAAACATTGATGATCTTTCTTAGCTTCAGCCCTCTTGTAATACTGTCAGGACACTAAAGCCAGGGACGGACCTACCATATGTGCAGATACAAATGGCCTTATGCAACTTAGGAGTTAATTTATACAAGATATAATTTGGGCTAGTGCTGGGACACCTACTGTTGTCACATACTCCTGAACTCTGCTCAGTTCTAGGGCAGGTGACAAGTGGGAGACATGTTTAGAAAGCCCACAGGGCTCTGTGAACCCATTGTCATAGGTGCATCTCGTCTTAGCTGTTTCTTTGTAATACAAAGATATTATATACGTAATACAAAATGGATATAAAACAGTATAAAAAAATAAAACTGACCTAAAACGTATATGTTACCTATGTCTCATGCCAAAGTTAGCAATGTCCGCATGTGTTAGTAAACTTGACAATAACTTTATGACCCTTTTGCATTCCTAATTTTTTTTTAACATAGGACTTATACAAATGTTATTTGTTTAATTGTTTTAAGAAAAATCCTGCTCTTTTTATTTTAGGCTGAGATGTGCAATAATATAAAAAATATAATTTAATAAATTGTTTGTCAATACTGTAATTGTATCTAACAGTTACAGTATTACACAGATGCACACTGCTACATTCAGGCTGCCATGCCATCTGTAGGTTTATTCTGTCAATGATTCTGCATGTGATAGCTGACATAGTGATGGCATGATTGATAACCACTCTGATTGGGTCCCAGTCTTTTGTGGGCACAGCCGTGTTTCAGAATGAGCAGCTGCATAAAGTGTTGGCCATCAAAGGGAGGACAGTTATTAATGTTTCTTCTGCATGGGGCATTGTGCTGAGCAACGTTAATATAGGGATTGGGGGCAGAAAGGGAACCAAATTCTAAAGCATTATTTTCAGAATGTTAGTGTGGTCTTACCTACTATAGCAACCTGATTTATAATTTTATGCTCATATGTTATCTACTGTGTGTGCCAGTGACAGATTGTGTGAAGAGAAGAGCTCACTGAGGCTCTGTTTGTGTTAATGACAGGGTATGACATATCTAGAGGAGGTCCGGTTGGTGCACAGGGATCTGGCTGCCAGGAATGTATTGGTGAAAAACCCAACACATGTAAAGATCACAGACTTTGGCTTGGCACGGTTGCTGGATGTGGATGAAACAGAATATCATGCAGATGGAGGGAAGGTAAGACATCATTGTTCACACTAATGAACTCCATACTACCAATGAGAAGACAGACTAGTAATAAAAATTACCTTATAAAAAAAATACTATAAACTTTTTTTATTGTAGGCTTCCAATTGTGTGAGCTAAGGAGAGCCCATGTGACATCACTAATAATAATAATGAACTTATACCATACGCATTTTTTATTGCCCTGGTACCTAAAGGGGGGAGTGTTTGTGAAAGCAATTTGTGCTAATGAAGAAACAGTACAAGCATTAAAAACAGACCCCACTATTTGAAGAAGAGTTCCAGAGGCAAGCTTAAATAAGAATACAGGCATGTGCAGGCACCTATCCGTGGATGCTTTTATGTATGTTTGGAGTGCCTCACCCCTTCTAAACCTCAACTATCTATATGAGACCTTAGAAAGACTCCTGTGACAAGAGGCTGCAATTATGTAAGACGCCTGATGATGGCCATACTATAACAGCTGTTCAGTCCAATCATATATTTACTGCTTGTGTTTTCTAGGTTCCCATTAAATGGATGGCTTTGGAATCTATCCTGCACCGAAAGTTCACACACCAGAGTGATGTATGGAGCTACGGTGAGGAACCCAGAAGGAAAAAAAAAAATTGTTTTAAAAAACAAAAACAAATTCACAGCCGACCTGGAACATTGCAGATGGATCCAAAAAGTTGGAATCTGATTGGTTGCTGTGGGGAAATATGGGTTCCTGGTTCAGATGTTTGATAAATGGGGTCAATATTAGTAAATACGTAGTAGTAATATGTAGTAATTTTTCATAACCAGTTGAGTTTCAGTGTACTGAAGAACTATTTGACTTTAAGCTAACATAATAACCCCTCTGTAATTTCACAGATACAAAAGTATTGGTGGAAAAACCCTTAATGTTGATTAAATCCTAAAATTCATATGGAGCACATATACAAAAAGTAGGACTTAAAGGAGAACTATGAGGTGAGTGAAAATCACTCAGCCTCATAGTTTGAGCCTACGTGTGACAATGAAACTGTCACACGTCGGCTCAATAGATCGGGAAGTGAGCGAACGCATACCGCCGCTCGCTCAGTTCTCGATCCTGTCCCTGCAGAGAGCCGTGACTGTCACTCACGGCTCCCTGCAGGGATACCCCCCTCCCCTGTCTGATCCTCTAGCATTGACTGGCGGAATGGACGGGGGAGGGGGCGGGTACAGCTGGCTCTGCCTCTAGATAGGCAGAGCCAGCTGTCAATCACGCAGCTGGGTGGATCTCGACAGTAATGTCGGGATCGGTCCCGGCTGCGGCGGTCTTGGTATACTGCGAGCTACAGCTCGCGGTATACTAAGCCTGGGGAGAACTATAGGGAAAAGTACTGACCCCATAGTTCTCCTTTAAAGAGGAACTTTACCCATGTCTTTAAAATAACAACAAACACACTTTTAGAAATGCTTAGTAATGATAATCTACAAACACATACTTCTAGATAATTGCAAGATTTATATTCTTTGCATACCTTATTTCTCTTTTCTTTCCCAGTCTGCTGACAGTGGCCATGTTAACTAAGGGCAGATTACTAACTCTCCCTTTACTTCCTGGAACTCTGGCACATGTTACTAGGACATGTGACCCTCCACATCATCTCCAGGGTGGAAAATGCCTTTCCCTGAGATATCATGAGATTTCCCAGCAATGCTCTGCTGGTGTAACCTTCCCAAGATGCAAGTTTCCCAGATGGCATTTCTTTTTGAAAACAGAGTCTCTGCAGTCTCTCATGATGTTCAAGATCCACTCATGGGAGCCAAAGACCATGTGATCTAGGCTTTAGGTCACATGGAGGCGTTCAGGAGCAGAAGATCTTTATTCATAGCAAACAAGAGATACTTTTTTTTTACTCAAAATAATAATGTGATTTGGTAATGCTGACTTGTGTCTTATTGATTAATTTGTAGTCCAAAGAATCTGCAATTGCAAATATGGAAAAAGTTAGATTGAAGTCAATAGTGATTGGTGTATTTATATGGGCTGCTACTATTTGCATGTATATTGAATAAAAAAGTAATAATACAATTTCATTTTATCTTCATTTGTTAATTTTATATTCTATCTGATCACACAGATTTCCGCTGCTGCTTGACTTGATTGGAGTAGTGGCGCGAGGTTTCACATTATTCATGTATATTGAATAAGCCTGTTCGTGTCCACAATAATTTGGACTCTTGTTGATCTCATTTTAGGGGTAACCGTGTGGGAACTCATGACCTTTGGTGCAAAACCATATGACGGTATTCCTGCACGGGAGATTCCAGACCTCCTGGAGAAGGGAGAAAGGCTCCCGCAGCCTCCTGTTTGTACCATTGATGTGTATATGATCATGGTGAAATGTAAGTAATGACAACCCATTGTCATAATTGCAGCATCTTATTTGTCTTCCATTTTCTTTTTAAGGTCACACGTAGGCCATCATCCTTTTAGTGTTCTTCGAAAATCAAATGGTTATTTACCCCTCCTAAGAACGCTAGAGATTGGGAGAGGGGGCTTTCAAGATACTCAGTTCTCACAACGGAATAGGTATAAAATATATAAAAACATACTTTATTGCAAATTTCACATAGAAATCATAATCTGTAGGTACAGACAATTCACTAGTGCATGTAACTAATTCAAAGTCTATATACCGCACAATACAGGTTTGCATTTGCAGCGATCTAGTTGTTATATTGTAGATATATTGAGAGATGGTAATTATTTGGGTTCCTCAGGAGGACCTCAAACCTAGAACACTGCAGGTTAAATGGACCAAATAGGCGAGATGGACAAAGGCTTCTGAGGCATAACCCTGCAGAGGGGACGTGGAGGGGTGCATCAAAGACAGCTCCAGCCCACACATCTAGAGAAAACTTAACTGCAAAAACACAGCCAGCCTTTCCGATCTTGTAATGGCTCTCCATTCTGACTCACTGTCATAGGAGGCTGAGCGGGTGGAGAGCTTAGCCTCCTGTGACACACCACTCACAGCACTCTCATTCCCGCCCCACTCAGCCTCCTGACAGTTTCTCTACTCCCTGATGGACGCTGTGCTGTGTCGGAGGGGACACAGCGCAGCACCCAGAGAAGAGGAGAGAAATCACGGATGCACCACAATTTTTTTGGCCAAAAGATGGTACTTTCGGCATTTTGCCCAAAGTGCCATTTTCAGCTAATATGTTTCGTCAGCCGAAATTTCATTGCATCCCTAGTTTTTATGTGTGCTTGTCCTGTCCACCTCTCCCTTTACACACCTCTATTGACTGTATTTTAGTACTATTCATGTATATTACACTTCTCTTACCAGGCTGGATGATAGACTCTGAGTGTCGGCCCAAGTTCCGTGAGCTGGTCACTGAGTTTTCCCGCATGGCTCGTGATCCACAGCGTTTTGTGGTCATTAAGGTAAAAACAGAACAGAAAATATTTAACATGTATACTAATATTAATTAGCATTCAGTCTACCAACATACTTGATAGACATAAGAATGTTGCAAGCTATTTTTTTAATTATTATCTTCATCACTATAATGGTTTGAGAAAATTACAGCATTAACCACTTCAGGATTTAGAATGCTAAAATACTTCCTAAAAAATGTCAACAAAGTTTTTAGGATGCATCTCTAACATCCATTTCTTCACCTCCTGCCACCATTCCGCCCACTGCAATCACCACAAATTACTGCTGTGTGATACAACTCTTGACAGCTAGTAATTGCTTTCTATTGCACAGCAGAAGCTGCTGTAAAAATGCCGCAGCTCCTGTGTAAAATGGCACTTGCAGTTTGTTACAGTATGTATACGAATATATTCATATTGTCCACAGCAAAAAGTACAGCCAAACCAGCTACTTTGGAACAAATGCTTAACAGTTGAGAAGATATCCAGCTCACAGTGTGTGCATTGTTTTCAGTGAGTCAGCAGATTAAAAGACTAGTAGGAGGCAGAGCCTGCATATATAATGAGAAAACATTGCTTTTCCCATGTGTGTGTGTAGTGTGTGTACACATATATTTATATACACACACACACACACAAACCTTTAAACAGAAACAATGTATTCAAACATTAAACACACATGTATATGATTATTTACATAAATTACAATTTTTTTTACCCATGTATCTAACAAAACATTGAAAAGACTATACATTCTATAAAGTTATTTCTGCTAATATTCCTAGTACTAGTACTTCATACTATTCTACTACTCCTATTTCTTCTCCTTGGAAACATTTTATTCACATGGTAGTAGTATTCACTTACCCCTCCCTTTTAGATTGTAAGCCCTCAGGGGCAGGGCCCTACTTACCATCTTGTCTTGATTTGTATTGTGATTGTAATGTCTTCCCTATATTGTAAAGCGCTGCACAAACTGTTGGCGCTATATAAATACTGTATAATAATAATAATATTCCAGCGGAGGAGCTTTGGCAGTCCTCAGTGAGATAGATCCAAACAGAGCATAAGATCTCCTACGCTGAGCATTACAAGCATTAGGTAGCTGTCCATTTAGTGGCCATATGATAAAGTGACATTACAAGTGTAGCCTGTCGAAAGCTGCTACTCTGAATCGTAAGCTGCACATTTGTTTAATTCAATTCAACGCTCCAGAACCAGCCCAGGAGTTCTATACACAGATATTTTTTGTTTTGACACATTCCCTTTATGATTTATTTTGCAATTGTGTTCTGATGAATTAGTGCTTTGACATCTGATGAAAGCCCTGTCCATGGCTGAGTCAGAAGCCCGTACCAGTAAACATCAAATTGGGGCACTTAATACATGTACAGAATGACGAGCTGAATGGTCTCCATCCATAGAGGGTAAAACTGTATATTAACCACTTCCGGGCCGCAATACGTCTATAGACGGCGGACCGCTAAAGTGGTTGAAACAAGAACACGGCTGCTGCAGTGGTTAAAGTGCTTGAAACAAGAACACGACCGCTTTTAACAGCAATGGCTGTTAATGTACAAGCGATCCGGCGTCTGTACAGCCGCCTGATCTTTTGTACCATGCCGTCTTCCCCGGGCACCACTGTCCACATGCGGCGCCCGGGAGCGGCTCAGCGGGTCTCCCCGCAATGATCGGAGAGAGATTCAGCGGCTTCCAAGCTGATCTCTCCTCCGATCACTGGCCCCGAAGTGATGTGCATTACCTCACTTCCGGTGTCACTGTACACAGTCTCTGGCTCTTAGAGCCAGGAGATGAAGCTGGGTGAAGCAGATCTCTGCTTCCTCAGCTTTTTTGGTTTCCCTAGGTGACATTAGGGGTCTGAAAGACCCCTGATGTCTCTATAAAGAGGACCTGTCACACCCTATATGCTATTACATAGGGTGCTTGATAGACCCCTGTGTAATAGCAATAGGGTTAGTGTAAAACAAATTGTTTAAAAGTTATAAAAATTAAACTAACATAAATGAAAAATGCAAAAGAAAATTTTTTAAGTCCCCCATTCCCCACGGGCACGCACATACACACGCAAACACGCGTCGGTGCGCCTACGTGCGGGCAACAAAAATTGCGCTACACATTTTACATATCGCTGCGGACGTCAGAGTGTGAGGAATAATTCTAGTGCTGTCAATCACTGTTAGCACTAAACTGTTGGCTATCTAATCGATTTTGAAAATAATCGTTAGCTGCAGCTCTAGTTGAGAGGTAAAAGCATTTAAAATGTTCCCTATGGAAAATTTGGGGTATTGACTTTTTTTGCAGCTTCACGGGCGAACACAATTTTAAGGCTTGACATGTTTGATATCTATTTACCCGGTGTGACCCCGTCTTTTATATTTTTACCAAAAAATTGGGTATTATATTATGTTTCTGTGCACTAAATTTTTATTTAGTTAATTTTTTCCTAAAAATACGGGTTAGATAAACATTTGCGCAAAAAACGTGAAAAATCTGTAAAAAATTGCAACTAGCATTTTTTTTATTCTACAGGGCCTCTGCTTTCACAACATATATCATTGTTTGGGGGTCTGAAGCTGTTTTCTAGCCAAAAATTTATATTTTATCATGTGTGCGCAAATAGTAAGAAAATGCCCCGGACAGCATGTGGTTAAAATTATTTTATTTTATTTTTTTTTAAGTCTGTCACCTGCAGATGCTGTCACACCTTACTTTATGTCAAAGGTCAAAACATGAGTGGCCAGACCTCAGGCTGAGGTCTGGCTGTGTCTTTTCCACTTTAATACACCTTAGGAAAGCTTTGCTTGTATCAAAACCTACATTCCATTACTTGCATATAAAAAAAATCACATCAAATAATGTTGTGAGTGTAATGATTGCGAGACTTTAAATTACTTACCGGTGTAGGCATTTTTACCAATATACTGTATGTTATATGGGCATCTTGACATTATCCCATTGCACCTGACCCTTTAACCCTTTATTTTATTTAGGATGAAGAACTCTTGGCTCAGGCTACCCCCTTGACTACACAATTCTACAGTGAACTGTTGCGGGAGGTTGACATGAAAGAGTTGGTGGATGCTGATGAGTACCTTGTTCCTCAGCATGGATTTTTTGGGTCTGGGGATCCCACAATGGAACATCGCAGTAGAATATCATCTACACAGGTAGGAACAGCATTCTGTCTTCTTTTTTGCAGAAGAAAGTTCATAACATATACTGAATGTGTTGGATGAATTTAAAGAGGTTGTCCAGAACAAAAGAAGGATTTTTATTCCCCACATAGGGTTTTAGTGATTTCCAGCCCTCATTTAATTATCTTCCATGGGAGAGCCAGAGCTATATGAAGGAACATGATAATTTAACTGACACATTGTTAATTGTAGTGTAGATTAAGATCGAATAGTACAATAACAGTAAAAACAGGTGGAGCACCAGATACCAGTCATTTTATTTTATTCATTCTTTATTACCAAATGGTGACAGGGCTTTTATGGTGCCTCAGTTTCCAAAGGTGTGATGTACCACACAGTTAAATGTCTGTAAATTGGCCAGGCAGCCTGCTCCATGCTGATAGGCGGGAAACAGCATGAAGCCGACTTCCCAGCCAATCAGCATCAAGCCGGCAAAACAGCATCGACCCGGCAAAACAGCCAATCAGGAAGCCGGGGGCGGGCCATTACAGAGCATGTAATGTACCACACAGTTAAATGTCTGTAAATTGGCCAGGAAGCCGGCTCGATGCTAATTGCCTGGAAAGCTGGCTACCCAGCCAATGAGCATCTAGCAGACCAAACAGCATAGAGCCCGCTTCCCAGGCAATCAAGAAGCTGGACATGTCGCCTGGCTACCTGATTGCTAGCGGAAGTGCTGGTATCTGCGTATCGGCCAGTACCGACATCTAAATATTGATACTCGATACCGAAAAACCAGTATCAGTGCATCCCTAATTACAATATAATTTGTATTTTTACCTTTGTCGAATTATTTGAAACACAGAGGACTGCTGCAAAGATACTAAAGCAACAAGTCATATAGCTTACCTTTGCAAACTATATGCAACTTGCAGAGTAGGTGGGCTAAAAGAGCTACGGAATGATTAGGGTGTGTCTAGATCCTACGGATTGTCCCAATCATTCAGCTATTCAAATAATAATTGTGGCTGTCTAACAGGGATTAATCATGATAAGCAAATAGTAAAACACTTTACCCTTAGCATCCACTTCCCAACTAAAATCAGCAGAGCACTTTCACATATGCTACAGTGAGGCTAGAAGAAAGGAGAGGGTGCCTAGGCCCTGTCACATAACAGGAGTTTTATATCTTTAGATGCATATCCCACTCGCTCCTGCTTCTGATTAATGCAAACACTGAAAACTATTGTTATATTTTTATTTTTCAGAGCACAACTGAGAATGATCGACCATTGTTGGATGGAACAGCTCCCGTGGTCTCTCTATCTCGCACTCTGTCACATGAATCAGCTGCCAGTGGCTCTGACGACAGTGACGGGGACAATGTGTTTGATCCATCTCCCAGAGATAACACCCTTAGAGGCAGATACTGCGAAGACCCAACAGAACTTGGAGTAGGTAATATAATCGATGGAAGGATGATGGACATCAACGGTTGTACATCCCCAGCATCTCCTGCATACCCTTCAGGTACAAAATACCACTGAGGTTCTAATGGATTTGTAAAATCCAGTCAGCTCCAAACTTATGATCCCCGCCGGCTGGGAACTCACCTCCAAGAGCAACCAGCAGGCGGGGATCATACGTTTGGAGCAGACTGGATTTTACAAATAATCGCTGGGTGAAGATTGGCAGTGTGCGGCTGTTCCTTTGAATTGCGTTTAAATTATTTGCTGATGTTTACAGGCATCATGGGCACCTTGCACTGACGTGAAGATGGAGGAGCATATGTACACGAAGGGAAATTGATTGATTGTTTTTAAAATATTTTTTATTGCAGTACAAAATTAATTTGTGTACAGTAGTACAGGATGGCAAATAGAAGTTACATAAGTCTTGAGTAGACTATTAAAAGGCAGCATAGATAACAACGTGGTGGTATCAAAAAGTAATGTCTGTTGAGATATAGGGGGTCTATTTGCTAAAGGCAAATAGGCTGTTCACTTTTCAAGGGAAGTATCACCTTAGCTTAGTGAATGAGATGAAGCTCTGCTGACTTCCATCACTCAATCATGTGCAAACAAATACTGTTTTGTTTTTTTCCTTGCACATAATTGGGTATTCTTTGCAAAGGGAAATTTCACCACATTCACCAAGCTAAGGGAAACTTCCTCGCAAAGTGCAAATCTCCTTCCAATGTGAACAGCCTATTTGCCTTTAGTAAATTAACCCCTGTAATATTCAGTGCAGTTATGACCGATAGCCAGCTATGTTAGTAAAATAAAAGTCTTTATTTCTTTCAAAAACGCTCCCAACAGAAACAGCTTTGCTTCAGCAAGCAAAACAAATGAAGAAAATGACCAGCTCACTGTCTGAATACATATGTCCCATCTCAGGGTTAGCGTCCCAGCCTGCTCTCAGCGGGTCAAACACAGACATTAATGCCCAGCAGCTTCTCAGTAGCAGACAGTCCACTGCTCAACACTCAGCCATGTCCTGCTCCAAACACACCTCACAGACACTGCAGGCCAACTTCCTGTCCACTTTGAGCACTCCCAGCAGGTGGGTTAACCATTACCAAGCCCCAATGCCTCTAGCCAGAGTTGGATGCCCTTTCCCACCAAAAATCGCTATGAGCCTTCAGATTCTGGGTCCCAAGAATGTATAGCAGTTTCCCTTCTAAAACATTCACCCCGGAACCCCTCACCCTGCATTGGTGAGAACTTCTGACAAACTCATTTTCTTTATTTTCTCATCCCCTAAAGAGACCATGACCTAAATAGCAGTAAACATAACGTCCGTCCAGGACACATTCCTGGCAACCTGTACACCTCATAGAAGGGTACATTATGCAGAGATAGAAACAATGACCATACATATATTTAGCCCTTCAAATTCCTCATCTCAGAGTTTTTTTCCCACATCTCCTTCACATTTGATGCACTTGCACCATCATTTTACCCAGGCCTTAAATTCAATATGGAAACATTCTACAGAGCACTCAGGGAGAGCTTGAATGGCACCTTCCAATGCCTTGTCAACAATTTCAGTTTCTCCATTTTTACATTTCTTTACCCAAAGCCTAACATTGCTCATGTCAAGTACTGCATCACAATACATGTAGTCTTCAAGCGCGTATAGATCTTTTATCAGAAACTCAATCACTGCTCTTTGTTTCAACCTCTTATCCATGATTCACTTGGTACAATTTAAAGAAGAATCCTGAGGAAACATTTTATTAACCCTTGCAGTGGGGTTACGGAACGGAAGTACACAATGATTACACCATATGTATGACATATGGCATGTTATTATAAGTTCACATAAACAGCAGATATGAAACAACAGGCATCATTTTGATACTGCCTCATATAGAACGATAAGTCATATGCAGAAAAAACATTCTGAACACTAATCAAGAAAGTAGAGTGAGGAGTAGCTGGCCTGTACTGATTACTCACTGTGGTTTTGCTTGTTCCCGTCTTTGGCTTTACTGGTGCGGCAGCAGCAGGCTGACCCCCCCCCCCTCCCCCCCATTCACTCCCCTAAGAAACAATCTAGATTTTTAGGGCTTATTCTTAAAGTATTGGTGAGCCTGTATTGTGAATGCTTTCAAGGTACCAAGTAGTTGCCTTGAAGCATTGTATCTGCATTGTTGTGTTTGAGTTTAGTATATCAATAAAGCTTTTTTTATTAGATATTTACTAACTAACTACTATGTAACTATGTAATAAAATATATATCAATAAAGCTATTTAATAAAAAAGTGGCTTCTTTGTTAAGGGTGGTCTTCACTCCATGCAGAATACATGTTGGGTGTTTTAGTTAAAATTGGCTTGAACGAGGATGTTTTGAGATCCAGTTATGAAGTATTGCTTGTCTGACTTCTGATAGGAGAAGCGTTAGGCATCTGGTGCCCGCGGAGAATTTTTGACTATCATGTAACAAAGGGAAATTTTTCATCTATCTCTATAGAAAATGACAGTTGCAGTTAAGATGTAATTGATGTGCTTTGGAACTTAAGGGGTCAGATTCTTTTCTTTTCTTAGAGATTCGCTATAGGACTTGTTATGTGACCATGTTAAAAGATAAAAGCTGAAAATGGGGATTAATCTAAACATCGAAACTGTGTATGTAATAAAATATGACACAAAATGATATTCCGTGAAGTGCCCTCTAAACTATGTGCCAGTATGGATGTGGCTTGATATCACCCTTTGCAAATAGCCAGAAATCATTATAACTGTAAAAAAAACAATGGCAGTACCTACAGTATCTTCTCTACTCACCCTATGGATCCATCAGACACTACAAGTGCTTGTTAAAGGATAACTAAACCCGAGAACATCTATGTACTATACTATACTATACTATACTATACTATATACTGCAGCTTTCTCCTCCTGTCTGATGTGGTGGCTGCATTAGTTTGTCTGCAAGTGCTGGAAATGTGTCTATTCTTTGTTTGTGAAATATTATGAAAGACTTTAAGCAAAGGTTCATTTAGTGCACAAGTCTGAATTCTTGTTGTCTTTGTTGCAGAGTATGTAAACCAAAGAGAACCAAGCAGAAGTCGTTCCTCAGTAAAGACACCAAGAACATCTGTTTCCACCCTAGAAAGACATAAGGGACAGGTATGCAGGAATGGCTTTATCAGAGAGCCAATGAGCCCAGCAACCATAGCTGCGGTGGAGAATCCAGACTATCTCCCCTCACCAGGACTACAAGCACCAAACTTTTTCCCACAAGCCTTTGACAATCTTTATTACTGGAACCATGAACTCAATGCAAGAAGCGAACAGGATCCCAACCCAGGACCTAATGGATTTACTACTCCAACTGCAGAAAATCCAGAATACTTGGGACTGGATGGGGCAATTATGAGACCCCGGGATGTGACGGCATAGCCAGGCCCTGAAGTTAAGGGAGTCAGCTGTTTTTGAAGACATCATGAACTTCTTTTTTTCAATGAGATCTCTTCTGATCTACACAATGATGGCTTGCTAAACACCCAATGAGAAATGAATTTGACCAGCAATCTCTGAACTGGAGATAAGAAAGCTCAGACCTAAATTCTATGCACAGGTGACTTTTGTGCTGCCGAATTTTAGTTGTATAATACAGAGCTATGTATATAAATTACCATTTTATATGGAATCAACTGCATAAAGTTCCTGCACTGGAACTGAAGTAGGCCTTAACTGTACCAGGGCCTGTTTTTTGTTACTTCAATAATAACACTTTTGAAGGGAATGTGAAAGAACACTACAGAAAGGGAAAAACACTTTTAACTTAAGAACAAATTTTGTGTGTGTAAGTATACAAATGAACATTTATCAGAACTGTTCTGCAGGTAACTGGGGAACACTGGGCATGCCTTATAGGCAGGGCTTGAAAAATTTGGCGGTGTCTCACCAGTCAGTCAAAAATGTCACCAGTCAGCATGACCTGACTATAGCCTTGCAATATATGTTAAAAAAATGTTGGGGACAGATAGAGGTTTCTTTTGTGACCCCACGGGGAGTTATTTTTTTTTTACTATATAATGAAAAAATTCGTCACAGACGAGTGGACGAGTGGATTTTTCGAGCCCTGCTAGGTAAAGCACAACTCCAGGCAATCCACCAAAGTTAAATACTGTACATATGTGTAAACCTTTTTTTGGCATTAGTTAACTTTTGCGTCACAGGAATACATTTAATAATGTACACCTGTCACCCAAACTCAGCATATAGAGGGCTACTGCCAAGCAGCGTTGCAGCCGGGAAAGATCCCAATACTATTGTCAGGATCCACCCTGCTGCCTGATTGACAGCTGGCTCTGCCAATCTTGAGCCAGAGCCAACTGTGCCTACCCCCTTCCCTGTCTGTCCCTCCAGTAAGCAGTGGAGGGACATTGAGGGAGAAATCTCCTGCGTAGGGTGGTGACTGACAGTCATTGCTCTCTGCAGGGAGAACACTGAGCTGAGCAATCAGGGGTATGTGATTGCTCAGCTCCCGATCTATAGAGCCGGCATGTGATACCTGGGGAAGAAAACATTTTACTGTCCCAATAGTTCCCTTGTAAGCTTTTGCCTACCAAAGGATTTGTCATTTTGCAAAGCTAGTTTGTTGATTCATATAGCTATGCTATAATAATATAGTATAATGCAGTCAGACGGGCGATAGATCTCATTTTCATGTTCAACTTTGCGGCTTCTTCCCACCTTCAGAGTGCCATGGTTGCCTGCCCCTGAACTAGCACATTGGACAAAGAAGTGGCATCATCAATTCTGTCCATGGAACAGTTAGGTGACCCATGAGGCAGCCCAGCTGAACCAGCAAGCAACAGAGTGATGGGAGTTTTAGGCTGTCTGACCAGAGAATGTAAATCACAATGCTAGTCAAACAGATTTAGACATACTTTGGCAGGTAAAACAGCAAAAGTGTATTTCAGATGTGTTTGTCTGGTGTAAGGCAAATGTAACCATATTAGTGCACTTAAAAAAATGTGTTAGTGCAAATAGAAAAAAAGCATTGTTACAAGACAAGCTTTCAGGGGTGTAACCCCTTCTTCAAGGTTCAAGTAGTACTAAACCTAGAAGTAAGGACAAGACCCCTAAAGCTTTGTCCTGAAACTTTAACTTTATCTAAATTATATCCAACAGTAGGACAACAAAAACATTTTGGTTGAACATAAACTTTCACAGGATCGAAATAAAAGAGAAGATGAAAATGTAACTACACTGGTTTTATAGCACAGTGAGTGCTAATAGACACAGGTGCACACTACAATGGGCAGTAACCCATAGCAACCACTGGACGGTTAAGGTGATGAAAACTGACATTTTTTTGGCTGCTGCATGTCATTGATCTTTGCATCATGTCAGCTGTCCAGCTGGAGTCCTTGAAAGGCAGGATATTTGGTCAGACACAGTAACATTGCTCAGAGAATATGGAGGCTGGCATCTTCTTCTGAAAGTGCAGGCAACCTTGGTACACTCCAGCTGTGGTCACACCACATATCCCATCATGCCTCTGCCTTTGGTAGACTTGCAATGCCTCATTGGACTTGTAGTTTCACAACAGCTGAAGTGCCGAGGTTGCCTACCCCTGCACTAGTTGTCATACTGATCCACTAGCTTCAATACTTTGAGATACTGCTCAGGAACAAGTCTGCAGATCCTGATTCCTGACTTCATGTTTGTTCCAGGTCAGTGATTCAGAATGTATTGATTTCTGGGACTGCCTGGCAACTAGTATTTTGGGAAGGCAGTAACACCATCCTCCATATTTCTTTTAATACAGGTTTCCCTCAAACACAAATGTTTTACTCTATTGCAGATCACCGGTTCTTAGATGTGGTGGCTGCATCAGTTTGCAGTCCCTTTGTGGCTACACTTATTTCTGCTTTGTATCTATGGAGGGTGCCATGAGATAACCTGTATTAAGAGAAATATGGAGGATGCTCTTTATTGACCTCCCAAAATACTAGTTGCCAGGCAGTCCCTGAAATCAATACATTCTGAATCACTGACCTGGAACAAAGCTTTTTTGTTTTTTTATAGATATGCTTTATTGAACCAAACCCTGCATATTGTATTCTCTCCTAGTTAAAGAAGAACTCTGGGCAAAACGTTTATTAACCCTTGTAGTGGGGCTACCCCGGCACTGCAAGGGTAACTGCTTGTTTTTGTCCAGATGCTAAAATAAAAAAAGTTATACTCACCTGATCCTCCAAGCGAGCTTGCTCTTGGAGCGGTTCTTCCAGCCACGCTCCCCCTCCTCTGCAGAAGTCTTATCATCATGTTCTGTACACAGTGTATTGGACGTGACATGAGGACGAGGCGCATACCCCGGAGGAGGGAGGCTGGAGAGAGCAGTGTCACTCGGCCGGTTCGAGGATTGGGCGACTATAACTTGATTTTCCTCCCTAGACCAAAACGAGCAGGTAACCCTTGCAGTGCAGGGGTAGCCCCACTGCAAGGGTTAATACAAGTTTTGACCAGAGTTCTGCTGTACAGAAAGGGCAGAAACAACATGGCTGCATACAACTGAAATGGATGATATTGTCTCCATTGTATTAATAGTTGTAGTCTTTGGGAGCCTGTGGTGAACCACAAATCCCAGCATGCATTAACTGGCTGGCTGACCACATCCAATCAGTTTTTTAGGTGTTCATTATGCCCCATTTCACTCACCTATTGTACCTTAACACACACACACAGACGTATTAGTGCAGTTCAAGGCACTATAACCCAAAGTAACCAGTCGGAAATCATCTGTCAATGATCTGATTGAAGACACTGGACTTTGCTCGATTGCTGTGGGTCACAGCACATGCTTTTCACAGTATTGTATTGAATGGGGCAGATGTGTGTAAACCTCGCAAGCACCTTCTATAGCAGTACAATGAATGCCTCTTGTAAATGAGCAGTGTCAGAACAAAGGTCGGTTCAAATGTTTTTATCCTGTTCCAGCACAGAAAGATTGAACGTTTCTATTTATATCCGATTACCTAAACCTAATCATCAGATCGGTAATGTAGAATGAATTCCCCTTCCATCTGCGTGAGACCTTCAAGGTTTATTTCTTTCAGCCAACTAGTAGAAATGACACTTCATACACTTGACCCTTATTTGCATCCTCCTTCACTATTCTTTCAAATCTGGATGGGACTATGCTGCAGCAGAGGTTGCTCCCTGTTTATAAAATAGATCCATGTACCAGGAGGTTCTCTACTGAACTGTCTTTTATATGGGGGCCTTGACTTCCATTTTTAATAGTGTAAATATCGTGGTATCTCAAGATGAAGTTAATTCTCTGCACAAAATGGTTAAAGCAGAACTCCGGGCAGAATTTTTCTGAACTCTTGCAGTGGGGCTATCCCTGCACTGCAAGGGTTCAGTGATTCTTTGTGTCTAGGTTCTAAAAAGAAAAAAAATTATACTCACCCGAACCGCTAAGTGGACTGCCCGCTTCTCAGTAACTGAAGCGGCAGCGATGGTATGTTCCTTGGCGTCCTCACGTCTAGGCACGGTATAGAATATGATTACTCAAGGATCCTTAGACCGCTGCAGCGGGCAGGGAGGGAGGCTCTAGGGAACACTCTAAGAGCAAGCCGTCTCTGAGTAACTTTTTTTTTTTAGCATCTGTTTTAAAATGTATGTAAAGCCATAATCTATTTTTCAGCTATGTTTGTCATCATGCCTCACTGTGTACAGCTTTCTTGGGCATGTTTATTTTTTGTGAATTGGTTGCATACTTTCTTACCTAGTGATCCTGCCAGGAACAGCACTTCCTGTTTCAGGCTGACAACACTAAGCCACTGCCTGCCATTTACCTTCAGCATTGTCGGCCTGCCATGTTAGCTGCTCCAGTTGGCCGCTGGGCTGCTTATCTGATAGACCTGACAAACAGCCCAAAGGCCAACTGAAGGAATGCAGATAGCAAAAGGCAATTTCCTTTGGTGCCGTTTTAAGCCTTGGTTCTCAACTGGTGGGTCGCTGCTTTTCTAGGCGAGAGGCTCCTCAGCCTCCCCCTGGCGCAGCACTGTCAGTTCTCACATCAAACAGCCATTCAAAATATGCTGCCCGGTGCCGAGTGTCAGCTTAAAGTGGGATAGGATGGGGCTATAGCCGCCAGGGAGCTCCATCCATACGTGCATTGCTTACAGCTCCCTCATGTGTCCTGTAGAGGTGCCTGGACCAGAGTGACATCACATTCTGGCTCCCGACACCTCTACAGGGCATGCAAGGAGCTGTACAAGCAATGCACATGGAGCTCCATTACAGCATAGCAGCCCACACTGGACCCCAGGCTGAGGATCGACTCCAGTTCTTGTAATGTAGGGAGACTGTGTGGACCTTCAAAAAATGTTTTTACTTTTTTAAGACATTTTTTGCGTGTGTACATGTGTGAGAGATTGGATGTATGTCAGTATTTTTGAGGACCCGTACACAGTACCATGCATTTGCACCTACTGTGCATTCTGGTGTGGGAGGTGTGTTTTGCGTTGCCATTGATTTGAATGGTACCCCAAACTCACCTACCCCCCCACAGTTCGTACTCTCGCACTGGAACGCTCACCACCCTAATGCCGTGCGTTCCATTGCAATGCGACTTGGGTTGCCACTTAATGACCAAGAACAAAAGGTGGGTCCGGAGGTTACACAGGCTGAGAACCACTGATTTAAATTATCTGAAGAGTGCAGTTACAAAGTATCTGCATTGCCCATGGGAACCATCCGATGAAATATAGAAGAATATTTTAGACAAGAACCATGGTCGCTTTCCAGCAGTGTCACTGACACCACATAAGCATCTCAAGCCCAACAATCACTGTAATATGTGAGAATCTGTTTTACCCCCTGCAATGTATATGGCCTTGTTCTAAGCATTTTCTTTTCCTTTTGTGTTTTCCCCATAACTGTGTTAATGATTTCACCTTTTTGTTTTCACGTGCATCTATTTTTAACAGACGGGTCATATTTTAAAAACACAAAATGCAACCATGCTATTTCTGTAATGACAACTCTTTTTCCTGGTGCGGTTTTTTTTTTAATATGTATCATGTGACTCTTAAGAACAAAAACTGGAAAAAAAATATTTTAATAAATGTTATAATGTACAGTACATTAAAAAAATGTGTCACGTTATTCCAGTCATAGCTGTACAGATGCTACATAGATATTAAAGCAGATCCCTACTGTAGGCAGGACACCAGTTAGACATTACACACAATACAGTTTGATTCACTACTGAAGCTTACCCTTCCTCACTACTGAAGCTTACCCATGTTGTAATCAGGAATAAACAGGAAGTGTAAAAAAGAATTTACCTGCTGCAGCTCACAATAATAAAAAAGATTATTAATACATACTGGAGATGTTTATCCTGTCTGGAGTTCTCCTTAAATTACAAAACAAGAAGCATAAGCACCTCACAGTAACCACTAGCCAAACACTATCAGACACACCATCTCTTTGGGCAAATGCCAGAACTGCCACATAGTCAGCCTACGACTAATTAGCCAGTGCGGTTCTCTGCACAGTAGACTGAGGAAGAGTTGCTGTATACTTGGAGTAGATTAGTAGAAAAACTGAAAACATATTCTAGTTAACCTAAAGGAAATAATTAGGATGATGTCATAAAGCTGGACGCAGGGGAAACAGCTGCTTACAAGATGACGCAGGGTGCTCTGCTGTTAGTGATCTCCTCCACTGGTTCTCCTCTGCTGGCTTTACGAATTGCCTCCATCAACTACAAAAAAAAGAAGAGTTACATATTAAATACATCCTGCCATTTTTACTTCTAAAGAGAACCTCTAACAAAAGGTTACCTTGTGTATGAAACCATAAGGGCCCATTCACACCCCATACAGATCATCTTCAGACCAGATTAGATTGTTTCCAGACCCAAAATGCATCCCTATGCTATTTCTGGCCTCTGTTTCCACCTGCGCAGTCTGTTCCAGACCAGAAAAATACTGCATGTCTCATTTTGTCTGGTCTGAAGGTGTGAACCTGCCCTTACTTCCTAGAAACCAAAACACAGAATGATGTTGGGCTAGACATCAACCTTTGCAGGCATGCAGAGTTTCATTTAGTGTCCACATGCCAACTATACTAATACCTGTTACTATATATACCACGCACATTAAATGCTGCCAAAATGTTTTTTGCTATATCAGATATCCCACCAAAAGCTTAACAGGCAACTTGTCCACAGGGTCACACTTCTTGTAAGAGCTGCTTACTCCATTGCTGACACCCTGCCTTCTGAAAGTCAAGTGTCCACTACGCACAGAACCCTTTCCAAAACAGTCCTGGAACCTACAGAAACAGGCACATTGATTCTGTTGCTCCTTAACAGCCATTAACTAGTAGCCAACATTTGATTAAAGTCAAACTGAAGTCCATTTTTATTGTTTTTGGATAAAGTACAGGAGCATTATAAACGCATCTTTTTTTGCCATCTGTGTCTCATTGAGGAGATTTCCTTTCACTTTCAGTCAATTGGAGGATTTCCCCTCATTTCCTGTTGTAGCCAAAGTGAACGAAATCCCTGATGGTCAGCAGGGTCACCAGAACTAGTATCCCCACTGGAAGATTTTGCATCTATTTCTGTTCTGATGACAACTTAAAATATGGGATTTTCTTTCAGTGATAATGGTCACCAGGACAAATAAAGGGTGAATGTACCTAATGGGAACACACATCACAAAAAAAAGCTGACAGATATTCTAAAAATGTTTGGAACAGTTTCAGTTTGAAGGGATATGAAAATCAAGAGCTTTTTCATGCTAATTGAAATGCTGATTAAATCACTTACAATGGATGCTTCAGAAGTTTACAAGTTTTAGTTTCCTGCAGAATCAGCGGGTCACCTGAGCATTGGCCCTAATATGGTGGCTCCTTTCCCCTGCAGGGTTTCCTTGTGCATGTCTCCACAAACACACAGCCAATCCTCTGCTCCTTGCTCCTCTTCTCTCTCTAAGCTGGTAGATGGACAGCTACTGGAGACTGCTCTGTCCCTTGTGATCTTGTACAGTACAGGAAGTTCAGGGAACTGGAGCCAAGAGAGTTGGAGCTGTTCAGAAACATGTTGATTGATTGGGCGAAACTATAATGAAATACTTTGCTCCGTGATACATATTTGTTTGATCTGGATGCATTATTGAAAAAAGTTTGAGAGTTTCACACTACTTTAAGCCTATTCTCCCACTAGACTCTTCTGTACATAGTCAGTGAGCTATGTTGTATTACAGCAAGTCCTGGTATAGGAGCTACTGCCTTTCCCTAGTCATTGCAAGACAGTGAAATATGCAAAGCAAAATGTTTTTAGTGGGCCGCCTCATTCTATCAGTTGTGTGGTCTGGCAGACCAAAGCGTGACACGCAATGACAACACAAAGCCAAGTTCAGGTCTTTCTTTCTCCCCTGGAATCCCATGTAATACATTTCAGAGTCCCTGCTGCAACTTCCAGTGGAAAGGACCTTCTTCAAAAAGGACAGAATCCCCTTGTCATTCTCCTTCACACTAATTCATTTCTTCCTGGCTCTAACCACAAATGGGTAAGTATTGTGCTTGGAAACCCTAATTGGAGGGATTTTTTTGTATAAACCTCTTCTCCGGCATGGTAACCTTTTATGCTGGTCACATACACACTGATTACATCAATAAGTTAAACTGACCGATCCACTCATTCAATCAAATGGAAGCTGAACACATTTCATCACTTATAGTAGCATGGCTGCAAAGCTGAGCTGGACCAATCACAGTTGTCCTGGAGGGAGAGCTAGGAACCCAGACAGTAGTAAACATAGGACAGAGAATGGAGCTTTTACCCCATACCACCCTGAATGAAGATATTTCTTACAGTACATCATGTACCTTGAGGGCCCACTCACACTAGCCTCTCTGCTAAAACGCTGCATTTCAGTGGATGGACTGGTGCATTGTGACAGCTGGTAGTGTGCTGTGTATCCTACACTGCTGGAGCTGTCAATGTTTACATTTTTTTTTCTTTTTTTAACTTTATGTGTACAATGTGTACATTCAATGCTGGTCCCTGTGCTACCATGCGGCTTCCTGAGGTGACATACAGTGCGCTGCAATGAGATACAGCATGTTTGCATTTTATCGCAGCGTACCGCCCACTGAGTTGGGGTGGGAATAGGACACATAGAAAACTATTGTTTTCTATGAGTCCTTGCGCTAATCTGCATAGATCCAGTTTCGTACAACCCAGGTCATCACTAGATGAGTGAACCTTGGAGTAAAATAATTTTTTGGGTTGTAGGGTTGTATGGGGTATTTTTGGAAAGAGACAACTTACATCTTTTTCGTATGGGAAGCCACCTAGTGCCAGCTTAGAGAAAACCCTCTGTCCATTTATTTCGATTTCAAAAGCTCCTGAAAATAAAACCAAATTAGATTAACAGGGATCACAGTAGCACCATTGTAACAGAATAAGGTGTAACGCTCACCTGTTCCACCAGGGCGAGAGTCAATACACACATCGGGGAACTCCTCTCGCACTGCACTAGCCAGCTCCTCATAATGGGATTTAAACCCACAAGGCTCACTAGAAGAAACATATCAATGACATCACAGATTAAACAACATCAGAAATATTAGAGTCCATTTATAAATGTCTTCACACAAGATTCACACATTTTTCTAATTAAATGGGGAAAATGTGTGAATACTGGGTGAAAACATTTATGAATAGACCCCCTATTGTGTAAACAAAATGTTCAGTGGCAGGGAATTAGATCTTTAGCTACATATTACAAAGCTAGATCAGAATGATCATTAGATTTCAGCACTGTCACATTCTAGAGCAGAACTGTGAGCAAATAGTGCAGCTAATCACATTGTACAAGGGTTAATTTATTCTTAAAAATTAGTTAGGTTCGGTGATGTTAGTGTTTGGGTTAAAGATACAGGGGGGTTAAGAATCTTGTCACACCTATGCGTTTTGTTACTCAAAGCTAATGGCGAAAAAACGCTCAAAATAAGGAATTCCATTAATTTCTATGGCCTCTGCTCACACGTATTTTAGGCATGTTATTAAAGCAAAACCTTAAGATTTTAAAAAAATAAATAAACAACCTTTGCAATGGGGCTACCCCTGCCCTGCAAGAATTGATTGGGTAATTCCATTTTCCAAAATTACCTGGGAAAGTGAACTTACCCTTTAATGCACATCGTGCGTGTTAAGAGTTCTGCTGTCCGGCTCCCACAATATGGCAGTGAAATAGGGCAGCACTCAACGTACACACACAATGTCCTACGCATGTGTTTATTTGCATCTAGATGGTGGGGGTGGCAGGGTTGGTTTTAATTTTTAATTTTTCATCACTTTTTTTTTTATGATGTTTTCCTTTTACCACTTTTATTTTTAAAATTTGTATACATTTTATTTTTTATTTAATTATTGTTTTACTTTTTTTCCACTTAAAGTGACATTAAACCCTCAGATTCTTTAACATAAACCAATACTGTAATCCATGGTTGTTTCCCTTCTCTTTGCTGCTCTTCCTTTTAAATCTGTATCTGTTCTCATGCTGGGCAGAACTTCTGTTTTGCAGCAGACTGCCTTGTCTCAGGAATGGATACATGGTGTCTGTGTATACGTTTGTATAGGCTTGAAACCTCAGCCAGCACTACAGGAAGAGGCCCTGAGCTGAAAAGGGAAGTTCTCCCCAAGCATGAGAAGACATGTGGATTTAAAAGGAAGAGCAGCAAAGAGAAGGGAAACAACCATGGATTACAGTAAGGCACACATTACAGTATTGGTTTATGTTAAAAAATCTGAGGGTTTAATGTCACTTTAATTTTATTCCTATCACACAGTGGCTTACAAGTTGTTATAGTTTCGAGGTGACAGGTTCTCTTTATGGAACCTGCCCTCCAACACAGAACAGATCTTCTGTGCAGTTTCTGACAGCTGAGACAGGTGGCGCTGTGATTACAGCGCTCCGGTCTCACTGATCACACTGAGCAGAGTGGAGAACGTACATTCTGCGCTCTGCTCCTCGCTCTCCATCCTGAGCTCATATGTTGTGGTCCCAGGTCCCCAGAAGAGCAGGGAACCCCGAAAACCACAGCAGGGACGGAGGGGACAGACAGGCTGGTAAAAGTGATATGATCAGATCACTTGCATAAAATGTGCATTGGCTCTCCGCTGTACATTTGGCCCTGCTTACCCGAAGCAGGTCTAAATGTAGGAAAAAATTACCCGCCCAGCGCCCGGAACTGCATGTCCGGGGCGTTGTGCGATAGGAATTCCACACCCCTGGCTCCATTGGTCTATTGACCTGTGATGTCATCATGTCTATGCAGGTCTGTTAAGCTGGCCGTACACCTATAGATTATCTATGGTCAGATGGAAAAAAGGCAACAGATTCCTCCATCTACGCTAAACTGTGTGGATGGAGGAATCTCCGCCTGGGCCAAGTTTCTTGCCAGTCGGCCCTGCTGGCTGTCAAAGTACCTGAACAATCTGATTGGATGCAGGCACTGTTCAGGTATTTTGAGAACCAGCGGGGCCGACTAGCAATATACAGATGCTTGGCCCAGTGGGAGATTCCTCCATCCACACAGTTTAGCATAGATGGAGGAATCTGTTGCCCTTTTTCCATCTGACTATAGAAAATCTGCAGATAATCTAGAGGTGTATGGCCAGCTTTAAGGTCCCCACACACCTTACGATAATCGTATGATAATCGTGGGAAATCCCGCGATCGTACGATTATCGTAAGGTGTGTGGAAGCCGTGCGACCTCTACTACTGTAAGGTCGCACGACTTTAAACTTACGGACATGTTCGAAAACCCGCCGAGCATCGTACGATGTTCGGCGGGTTTGTGGCATGTCCGTACGATAACAGCCGTACGGGCCGGTGTGCGCAAGCGCACACTGCCCGTTCGGCATTGCGGTCATCGGAAGCCCGCCCCTCAGGGGGCGTGGCTTGCGATCATCGCAAGTACGATCTGCCTATGCAAGATAGGCAGATCGTACGTTTTTTTAAGTACCTTACAATCATCGCAAGACAAAAGTCTTGCGATGGTTGTAAGGTGTGTGTCCAGCCTTAGACATGAGAACACCAAGGGACATACCACAGCCGAAATGGAATAGGAGAAAAGTTATCTACTGAGGATCGGATGAGTATCTTTATTTTCTCCCCTACAGAAAAACAATTCCACGAATGGGGTAGCCCCACTGCAAGGGTTAATTTTTAAAATCCAGGAGCTCCTCTTTAAGCTGTAAACACCCCCCTTGTGCAGACATCTAAAAGCCCTGAGATTGCTGCTGGCTGTCACCATCTTCGATGTTAGCAGCCTCAGAGATGTCACTCAAGTGACAATTTATAGTATTGTGTGACGCTCTGCATAAAACCAGCAGTCACGTGGTGCTTGGCTCAGTAAAGTGTAAAATCCCCTCACCATCAATTCACTTTGACATAGAAGATCAGATAGAAAGAAGTGGCATCTGCTTATAACATACTACACAGCAGAATGATTCTTAGTCTCAGGCTGATGTTGCCTGTAACAAAACTGCCAGACGAAGCTCAGCCTCATCTTACCAATATTCCACTATAATGTTCACCGTCATGACCACCAAGATGCCGCACTGCTTCCAACAGCTGTCACACACTAAAACTCCTTTTCGTTCCTTAAGTTCCGCCCTCACTCTACAACACTTCCGCCTTCACTCTGCAACACTTCCGCCCTTAAGCTGAAACACTGCCACCCTCGCTCAGTGACATGCCCGCCCTGAAAAATAAGCTGGCTCCCTCTGCTGGCGGTTTTATTTGTTTCATCATAGAGAAAGCCTTGAAATAATTTTGCCATCGCAGGCAAACCTTGCTAAAAAGGACAGGTGCTGCATGTGATTTGTACACAGCAGCCTGTTCTTCTCTATGGGAGCAGGGCAGCCTTCAGAAATTTCGGGGCCCCTTACACGGCTTTAGGCCGCCCCCCACCGCCCAGTGAAACACCCCCGCACTGCCCGGTTCCAAACAACCCGTCCGCACCGCGGCCACGCTAGGCCAGTCACACTGTTAATATTATACCCCTCCCCCGCAGTCACATCAGTCTCTGTACAGAGGAGCTTACACCCTAATGTCCCCCCACAATCACACACTATGATTATGCATGTATATAGCTCTAACATATACCGCAGCGCTGTACAGAGAACCCTGAGCCAATCACGTCAGTCAAGCTTGGAGCGGTGGAAGCAAAAAAAAACTGGTGTGCAATATAGTGAAATGTAAAATTATACAGCAATCAATCCAGCTATAGAGGAATACAACAAATCCCAGCAATACAATATACATACAGTGTATAATGTATTGCTGGGATTTGTAGTACTCTAGAGCTGCTGTTACATATACAGCGCAGTATACCATCAGCTATAGAGGAATACAACTAATCCCAGCCAGAGGCGGCTCTCTAATTAGGCGAGTTAGGCGGTCGCCGTAGGCCTCGCTCTCACGAGGGCCTCGCGGCCGCCTAACTCACTTTTGCAGATTCACCGCACCTGACTCTGGCGAGTCCGTCCCTGGGCAGAGGGGAGCTGCAATTTCCTTGTGGGGAGAATGGGGCCCCCGCGGCCTCCGCACAATCCCCGCCCCTCCCTATTGTGTACTGATCTCCTGTCACAGGGCAGCCGTGCCAGTCCCGGCCGCATCGGGCACAGCGGATCTCGGGACCGCCAAGGATGCCTGCTCCTATACAAGCAGTGGGGCGTCTCTAGAGATGCCCGATTGCTTGAATGTAAAGCTCCCGGCCGGCCGTGTAATTACAACGGGCGGCCGGGAAGCTACTCGTTGGCCTCCGTTGTCCTCTCGTCACGGACGAGAGGACGAGTGGATTTTTCAAGCCCTGATTATGGGTGTGAGTGGGAGCCTCACATTTTGAGTTTCGCCTAAGGCCTCACAAAGTCTAGAGCCGCCTCTGATCCCAGCAATACATTTATACAGCATGTGGAGTGTAATGCAGGTAGTCTTACCTCATACTCTTCAAGCAACTTTACTTTCTTCCGAAATCTTGGGACGGCAGCTGACGTTCCCCCACACTGCAGTCTCCCTGCAACGACGTGAGCAGCGGCGAGAAAGAGCTCAGAGCTGGGAGAGGCGGAGAGGAGGTGCGGCGTGTGGCTTGAAGCGTGCGGTGCGTGTGGAGCAACTAATCGAAAGCCGACTAATCGATGATGGAAAATGTTAACAACATTTTCCATCATCGATTTTAATCGACTTAGTCGATTAGTTGTTGCAGCCCCGGTCCCATCAGTCTCTGTACAGAGGAGCTTACACTCTAATGTCCCCCCCACAGTCACATTACCCGCTGGACGCAGGGCTTCCTGACCCGCTGGACACTAGACATGTGCATCGGCAAAAAAAAATTTTGAGTTTCATCTTGTTTTGATTCCAATTTTGCGTTATTTATTTTTTCGGGATTCGGATGAAATTCGTCAGCGGTAGTCTGTACGAATGTTCATTTCCGTTTCATGTTCGTATCGTTCGTTTCGTTGCAGCAAAGTGACATTAACATTTTTTTTTATTGTCACTTTGCTGCAATAACAATGCGTACAGACTACTACTAACGAATTTCGTCCGGAAAACTAATTTTTCCTGAACGAATCCCTCATGTCTACTGGACGCAGGGCTTAGGGTTAGTTCACACCATGAGCAGTGCGCTCTGGCTTGATTCTGGCCAGAACACACTGCCCGCATTGCGACCGACTCACTTTTTTGCCAGGCTGGAGGGGGAGTGGCGGGCCATTGAAGTGAATGGCACCGTAGTCACGCCCTCCGGCTGCAATGCAATCGCCCGCACGGGATCGCAAGGCACATTGTGCCTGCAGTGCGTACGGGTGCGGTGCAATCAAAATAGTGCCTGCAGCATTTTATTCGCACCGCACCCAAACGCACTGCAGGCACAATGTGCCTTGCGATCCCGTGCGTCCTCCGGTTACCCTTAGGCCCCATTTACACTGAGCGGAAAACACAGCGATTTCCGCCACCATATCACACATTTTTGCCGCGCAATATCGCGAGAAGTCGCCGGCCAATATTGGACAACTATGGGGAAAAACACTTACCCCATAGTTCTCCTTTAATGATGCGCTGGACGCAGGATCCACCTGAGACCCCACACATACCTGAGAGTGATCCTGCAGAGCCTACCATAGATGCTGCACAGCCCATCTGATACTCTTTATGGTGGGCTCTGCAGGGGTCTAAGGTGGACTGGTCAGGGCTGCATATCTCTCTTCCTCCTCCCCTCCCCCTCTTCTCTCTCTCTCTCCCCCCAGCTCTTCTTACCTGCTCATCTGGCCTCCTCCTCTGCCGCTCGACTGGCCTGAAGTGAAGTAATGTCACTTCCGGTCGGTCCGAGATTATTTGAGCAGCGGCGCTGATGGGGCCCCAGACTGCTAGGGCCAGGGCTCCTCCTCGCCTGTCACCGACGGCCAATACTCATGTAAGGGTTCTGGCCGGGCCCCTTACATGAGTATTGGCGGTACCCCGCTGACAGCGGCCCTGTATGGGAGTATGCGGCCGTTCGCTCACCCGAACTGCATGTCCGTGCGGGTGTCCCTGGTCGGACGCAGAAAGGATCCACTCTGTCTGCATACGAGTACAGACACCCGCACCCGCATGGACGTGCAGTTCGGGTGAACGTACAGCCGCATACTCCTATAGAAAAGAACAGGCTGCTGCGTACAAATCACACACTGCACCTGTCCTTCCCGGGAGTGGCCTGATACGGCCATGCATGCAGCACGGATCTTTACGGGCCGGCTGTTAATCGTGTTAATGAGGCCTTGATGTTTAAACGCCAAACGCCCGAAAAGGTATATGAGCTTCTTTGGGCAGTTAAAAGCGCGTTTTTGAGACACCTTAAAACGCGCCGCAGAAGCATGTTGCACATTTACGTGCACATTTTTGCGTGTTTCAACGTGCGTTTGTCCATTGCCTGCAATATTTCATAAACTGCCAGTCAAAACGCGTGTCTTCATGTATGCGCTTACAAATGCGCATCAAAATGTGCACAACGCGTAAAACGCGCAAATAACCACATGCTAAACACATTTGCTAGGTAATGTGTATTTGTTTGATCTGGATTCATTAGTGAAAACATATTTGACAGTTTAATATTACATGCAGTGGGGTAACAACCGGGGGCAGCCGGTGCGCTTGCCCCGGGCGCAGAGCTGAGGGGGGGCGCTGGCCACCGGCGCCTCCCGGTTATTATGCCACTGCATGTGTCCCCCTGCACTAAAGCTGGCCATACGCTACTACAAGCAGGGCCTGGCAAACAGGGGCGTGAAGCAGGCGAGGTAGAGGCGGGATGCGGCGGGGTCTCTCGTTCTGTATTACCGCGCTGTGCGGGCGGGGTAGAAGTCTCACATTCCTGTCACTCCTCACTCAGGCTCTTTCCACAGTCTCGGACTCACTGCTGGGGGTTGAAAGGCCGTGACTGTGTCAGTCGGGGGGAGATCGGGGTCCTGGGTATAGCAGGCCAGGTGGTCAGTATTGGATGTTGGGGATGGGGTCAATGTTGGGGTGGTGAGGGACGGGTGCTCAGTGTCGGGTGTTGGGATCCTTTTGAGGTCCCTGGCAAGTCGGTATCAGGTGTTGGGGTCTCATGTGGATCAGTGAAGGTGTAAGGGTCCAGTCCCAGTTGGACTGGCCGCTTGTAGTTCATAATTAATACAATGCCATTATAGTACGTAGATGAACTTATAACTTTTAAGTTCCATTTAGTGAAACTTAAAAGTTTTAAGTTCATCTACGTTCTATAATGGCATTGTATTAATTGTGAGCTACAAGCGGCCAGTCCAACTGGGACTTGTAGTTCCCTGTAACTGATATGATGCTGTATTAAAGTACTAGAAATACAATGCCTTTATAGAACATAGAATAGAACATAGATGAACTTAAATGTTATATTCTTAATTCTATAATGGCATTGTAGTACTTTCAGGTGGACAGTAATTAATACAGCTTCATAACATAACATATCAGCTAGGGAACTACAAGTCCCAGCATGCCCTCATTGCCCCTGTACAACAGCCGGATATTGCTGTTCCCTGGGTGATATGTTTGTGTGTCTGTGTGTGGGCGGGGGTTGTACAGGGACAATGATGGCATGCTTGGACTTCCCTAGCTGATATGTGGGGGTGGGGGGGTTACAGTTCCAGTTGATGTTTATTTAATGAGGGGGGGCGGGAAAAAAATTCTGCCCCGGGCGCCCATAACTCTGGTTACGCCACTGGTCCCTGCCCTCAAGGAGCATATACTGTATATGAGGGCCAATTTTAGACAGGAGCCAATTAACCTACCGGCATGTCTTTGGATTGTGGGAGGAACCTGGAGCAACGAGAGGAAGTCCACATAAGCACAGAACATGCAAACTCCTTGCAGATAGTGACCTGGCCAGGATCCAAACCAGGGACCACAGTAATGCATTGCAAAAGTACTAACCCCTATGTCACTGTGCTGCATTTTTTTCCATTCATTACTATTCTTTTACATTCATGATTATTAATTAAAATATTTTTGTCCTATAGCAAAGCAGGGTTGTTACTGGTGTCAAAAGGTCAGTCTCCAGATAGTTTTTGATATTACACTCAAGAAATTCCTTACCATCATATAGATTGTTGAAAAGTTACAAAATTT